GCTGCAGCGGGCGGATCAGTTCGGAGGTGCGTGGGCGCTGCGCCAAAGCACGCGCTGTGCTGCTCGTCGCGAGCCCGCTGGGCGCGTCGGCACGATAGTAGGTTTGGGTGTCAGCAGACCGGGATGATTGGGGGTCTGCTGAGGCCCGATGCGGGGATTTGTTGGCCTGCGCCTTGCCCCTCTCCAATAACGTGTCCGCTCTCGTGGAAGAAATGATGGAGCCCTCGCTACTGCAACAAAATCTAGCCTTGTCACACCACAATAACGCGCACACACACACACACACACACACACATGCACATGCACATGCACATGCACATGCACATGCACATGCACGCACAATCACAGTCACAAACACACACACATACACATATGAAAACACCCACAAACAGGCACACACCCCACACCGACACCCCCACACATCCCCTACACCCCCAAACGTGCCCGCAGGCTCCCAGGCGCTGCGCTGCCTGGCGCTGGCCATCCGCCCCCTGCCCGCCCACGGCGCCCGGCCCGGCGGCGGGCTGACCCACGCTGACGAGGCGGGGCTCACCTTCGTGGCGGTCGTGGCGATGCACGACCCTCCGCGCCGCGAGTGCGCGGCGGCGCTGCAGACGTGCCGGGAGGTGGGGGGAGTCGTGGGAGGGGTGATGTCAGAGAGCAGCGGTTTTTTTTTCAGGGGGGAGTGTGCCGCGGAGCCACGATCTGCGGTGGTCTCTGGGGTGTCAACACGACATGTCTTGAGCCGCCGCAGGTCCGGGCGTAGGGTGCTGCTTTGCCCTGGGGAGACACCGGGGGACGAGAGTGAGTCCAGCCGCCCAGCCGGCGCACCGCCACGCAAACAGCTGTTTCGGGGTGTTTGGGGTATGGGGTTGCCGCCTTTGAGGAAGACACGCCGAGCCTGTTGCCAACCACCCTCCAAGCCCTTGACGTGCCCCCCACCCCCCAACACTCTTCAAAAAAGGCGGGCATCCGGGTGGTGATGGTCACCGGTGACAGCCCCGCCACGGCGGAGGCGGTGGGACGACAGGTGCGGATGCGTTTTGTCCGCGTACGCGCGCCCCGCATGGCGCCGCCGACAGGGGCCCGAGCGGCGCAGCAGAGGGCCGCAAATGGGAGGGGGGGATGGTAGGCCAGGCGCCGCGCGCGCCGGCCTTACCCCTCGGGAGAGGGCAGCGCCCCTGCCCACAAACCCCAACCCTGCCCTTCCTCCCTTCCCCTGCCGCCCCTGTTTTGCCACGGGCGTACGCCCACCCGCCGCCTTGGTTCGAACCAACCCCCCACGCCAGGTGGGTGTGCTGGGTCTGGACGCCCACGCTGACAAGGACAAGATCGTCTCCATCACCGGTGAGGCGGCTGTGCGATGGATTTCCGTCAACGCGTAAGACAGGTCCCTCAAGCTAGCATTTCCTGTTTGGGGGGAGGAGCACATTAGCTTTCTCAGGCCGTGATTCCTCGCCCTGTCACAAAGGGTGAGGAATCACGGATCTTGGCAAGGGTCCGTCCCAGGCCCCACCGCCGTCCCCATCACCCCAATCTTGGGGCCTTGCGGCGTCCCAGCAGCCGCATGATGCGCTGCGCGTTTGACAACACCCCGCGCAAATCGCATCAAGCCGTGGCAGCCGCCAGTCCTGCCGTCCCAAGCACGTGCACGGCGTCGGTGATCGAGCGTTCTGATTTGGCTCTCGACGCCCCCCCAATCCCTCAGGTACCGAGTTCGACTCCCTCCCGGAGCAGCAGCAGCTCGACGCGGCGCGCAGCCTGGCGGTCTTCGCGCGCGTCGAGCCGCTGCACAAGCTGAGGCTGGTAGAGCTGCTGCGGAGACAGGTGGGGCGGCGACGCGTGTGCGTATCTCTTTTTGATGTCTACGTGTGAGTGCGTATGCGTATGTGTTGTGTGCAGGGGGGTTGAAATTGAGCGCACGAGTGGGCACCCCTGGCCGTACCTTAGGGCGGGCACGCAGACCTGCAATCGCGCTTACGGCTCGCATTCCCCTTCGCTGAGCGAGCCGCATGGGCGCATGCGCGTGCGGCAGCGCCAACGCCGTTTGCTGCGTCCCCTCTTCGCCGCCTGGCGGGTCCTGGTCCACGTGTTTCATGCCACCATTCTCACACAACCCACATCCAAGGACATCACCGCGCGCGCACACGCGCGCGCACACACACACACACACACACACACACACACACACACACACACACACACACATACACACACACACACATACAGTTTCATACGCGTTATCCCGTCCTCCACCCAACCCCACCAAACCTCACAGGGCCACGTAGTGGCGATGACGGGCGACGGCGTGAACGACGCGCCGGCGCTGGTGCGCGCAGACATCGGCATCGGCATGGGCAGCGGCACGGCGGTGGCGAAGCACGCGTCGGACATGGTGAGCCGCCTCCGCGCCGGCATGACAAGCTGTGGAAGCGCTGCACCTGTGCTGCGGCGCAACCAAAGCACTGGCTCATGACTACTATCAGTCCCGCACACGCGCCCATCTGCACTGTTTTCTGGACGTACACCCACACATTGAGAAGCCAGCTGCGGACATGCGAGCACGCACACACACACACACACACACACACACACACACACACACACACAC